CGCCTGCAGTGCCGGCAACCCGTATGGGCACCGGTTCAAGAGCCAGCTGCTCCACTTCCAATCCAGCTCTCTGCTATGGCCTGGGAAAGCAGTAGAAGATGACCCAAGTCCTTGGGCCCCTGAACCCACATGGGAGACCCAGAAGAAGCTCTTGGCTTCTGGCTTTGGATAGGTGCAGCTCCAGCTGTTGTGGCCAATTGGGGAGTAAACCAGCAGATGGAAGACCTCACTCTCTCTCTGCCTCTCCTTTCTCTGTGTAACTCTGACTTTCAAGTAAATAAATAAATCTTAAGAAAAAGAATTTACCTATTTTTTTGAAAGGCAGATTACAGAGGGAGGGAGGGAAAGAAGGAAGATTGAAGAAAGGAGGAGGAGGGGGAGAGGGTGGGGGAGAGGGAAAATGAGAGAGAATGAATCAATCTTCCATCTTCTCATTCACTTCCCAAATGCCACAATGGCTTAGGCTGTTCCAGACTGAAGTCATGAGTCCAGAACTCAATCTGGTCTCCCATGTGGATCACAAGGGCCCAAGTTCTTGGGCCATCTTCTGATGCTTTCCTAGGCTCATTTATAGGAAGCCTGATAAGAAGCAAGGGAGCCAGAACTCAAACTGGCACTCCAGTGTGGGATGCTGGCATCACACGTGGCAGCTTAATCCACTGTGCCACAATGCCGATTCTTGCCCTTGTTTTCTTGTGGGCATTTGGGGAGTAAACCACTGGATGTGCGCTGTCTACCTTTCAAATAAAAAAAATTTAAGAAAGAAGAAAAATTACAGGAAAAATAATGTTTCTATGGGCAAGCCCACCTACCCAGCAAAGGATGGACTCAGAAACTTGAAGGAAGCAGAAGTGAGGCACTTACTGATAGCTGGTCTTGAGGGCAGTAACCAGCAGCTGGGCGCAGGCATCTCCCTTAGAGATTCAGCTCCTTTTGTCTCTGCCACGCAGAGATCCTTCCCCCCAGTTCTTCATTGACTAAGCAACTTGGGAGGTACAATTTCAACTCCAGAAGGGATCTAAAGTGTGAGGTATTGGGGATGAATGATGCTGGGCAAATTTAAGACAGGACAGGGAAGAAGTTACACTGTGATGACAGCAAGGTTACCAGGACTTGGGACTGGAGAGAGCACCTTGTACTAGGCATCTGATGGTTACAGACTACAGAACTGCTAAAGGTTACAAAGATAACACATAGTGTAGTTTGTAGAGCAAGCTCAGCAGCTGACCTACTTTGGAGTTTTTGTAACCCTCTTGTACATGCTACTGAGTCCTAGTGTCATGGCTGCAGTAAGGCTAAGCTAAGTCTTTGTGGTCATTTCTCACACTGAACACTGTATTGAAAAGACTAGGTACTAACACAAATATAGCTATCACATAAATATTACAAATCTTGTCAGTGCAGAGATGCTCTACCACAAGGGGAAGAGGGAGAAGACTCAAGGTGGCTGACTCCTCATAATTAAGCTTCTTTTCTAAGAAGCCTGCGACTCAAAAGATAGCAATAAATCCTGTGAAAGAGGTTTATTTAATTAGTAGAGTAAAATTTCTATAAGGTAATACTGGTTAGTTTTACACCCTCATGCATTCTTTTAATGATCACAGAGAGCATACAAGGACACAAAAAACACCTGTAAACACCTTGAGGAAAAATCTCAAGTTAAGTAAAAACATGCAACTAAATCCAGCAGAGTTGGTGCTGGAGTTCCTGCTGGAAAGAGGAGACTGCAAAATTGTGAAGCAATGTGGGAAACGCGCGGGGTGGGGGTGGGGTTCTTACAGCGTGGTGTCTACACAATGTCAACAAAGGAGAGGCCCCATCCTGAACAGAAACTATTGGGAGCAGATCTGAGTTCCGTCAGTGAGTGGACTGACAATGAGAGGAAAGGGGTTTGAAGTTCAGGGCACCAGAAGAAAATCTTGGAGGACACTTCTGATGGTAAGACAGAAAGTGCTGGCATCTTGTGAAAGCAGCAGTCAGCTTCTGAAGAGAAGTAAAGACATACCTGACACCTAAGGCTGCTACTGCAATAATATAGGATAGAAAGATAAAGAGAAATTTGGCCCCTAAAGGTCACAATACATTAAAGAAACAAGAGTAACAGAAGAAGGAGCCTCAAACTAAGAAAACGGAAAGTGTCCGAGATTCTCCTCTTCTTCCTATCACAGTATAGAATTTCACTGCTAATAGCTGGCCCATGACATTCAAAATACAAGCAACAATACTTACACTGAAGTATTTTTACAAGCGTACTGACAGCCAACAGAAATGAAAATCAAAGCTTCTGGACAAACAAAAGAATAACATCTGCCCTCCCCCCAATTATGCCATGAAGTAAAGAAAAATTGTTAACATACTCCAACATCGAGTAGTCAAAAATTTTAAAATCAAGTGATTTCATAGTTAAAATACCATAAAGCAAAACTGAAAAATTTCAAAAAACTTAACAGAGATCTGAAACAGAAATTGATATAAACAACAAAAACAAACAAAAAGAAACTGATAGAACTGAATGAAAAATGAAAAAAAGACAAAGGTAAACTCACAAGGTATACAAAGAAGAAAAGCTGGAGCTGGCATGGTGCAGTAGGTTAAACCACCACCTGCAACACTGGCATCTCATGACAAAGCACCTGTTTGAATGTTGGCTGCTCCACTTGTGATCCGGCTCCCAGCTAATGTCCCTGGGAAAGCAGTAGAAGATGGCTCAAGTGCTTGGGTCTTTGCTACCCATGTGGGAGACCTGGATGGAGCTGTAGGCTCCTGGCTTCATTGTGACCAACTGGAGAGTGAACCAGTGGAAGAAAGATCTCTCTCTTTTTTTTCCCTCTTTCTCTGTCACTCTGTTGTTCAAATAAATAAAACAAATCTTCATAAAAAAGAAAAGCTGAATGAACTGGAGGATAATAACATCCAGATTCAAGAAAATAAAATAAATGAAGAGAATAAAAAAGACCACAGAGAACTTGCCATGAAAAAAAATCAAAAAGTAAAAAAAAAAAAAATTTCATATATGATAGCATTACAACGAATAAAAGACTTGAGTATAAATTTAACGCAAAGAAGAAAACTTATACATGAAAAACTAGAAAATACTGCTGATAGAAATTAAAGAAGAAATAAATAAATGGAAAGATATTCCAGGTTAATGGATTTGAAAATTCAATATTGTCAAGATATCAAAATGATCTACAAATACACAATAAGTACTATCAGTATCTCAGTGACATTTGTTATGTCCTAAATTCATGTGGAATCTCAAAGAACCTCAAATAGCCAAAATCATCTTGAAAAGGAACAAAGTTGGAGGATTTACAAACTTCTTGATTTCAAAAATTACTACAAAACTACAGTAATCAAAACAGTATGATGCTACTATAAAAACAGACATATAGACCAAGGGAACAGCATACAGAAACTAGAAATAAAATCTCATATTCACAGTAAATTGAAATCAGACAAGGATACTAAAACCATTTAAAAAGGGAAAAGACAATCTTTTCAAAAAATGGTGCTGAGAAAACTGGATACAGACATTCAAAAGAATTAAGTCTGATCCTTATGCCACATACAAAGATAAATTCCAAATGGGGGCGGGGGCTGATGCCATGGTGCAGCGGGTTAATCCTCTGCCTGCGGCGCTGGCATCCTATATGGGCACCGGTTCTAGTTCCGGCTGCTCCTCTTCCAATCCAGCTCTCTGCTATGGCCTGGAAAGGCAGTAGAAGATGGCCCAAGTGCTTGGGCCACTGGATCCGCATGGGAGATTAGGAGGAGGCACCCGGCTCCTGGCTTCAGATAGGCGCAGCTCTGGCCGTTGTGGCCATTTCGGGGATGAACCAATGGAGGGAAGACCATATCTGAGTACCTGGTTCAAGACTCTGATGTTTCACCTTTCCAATCCTGTTTCTTGATAATGCACATCTTGGTAGGGAGTGTTCCAAGTGCCTGGACTCTTGCCACCCGCAGGCAGGAACTGGATGGAGTTTCTGGTTCTTGGCTTCGACATGGCCTAGTGCCTGCTGCCGTGGGCATTTGAGGAGTGACCAGTGGATGGAAGATCCCTCTGTAGCTCTGCCTTTAAAACAAATAATTCCTAAAAAAGATTTTTTTCATATACCATACAATGGGAAATAATCACCACCATCAAGCAATTGACACATCCATCATAACACATACTCAAGAGTTACTATTTTTTGTGGTGTGAACACTTAAATTCACCCTCCTGGCAAATTTCAAGTAGAGAATATTATTACCTTTAGTCAGAATGCTGTGCATTAGATCTTTGGAACTTATTTGTTTGTATAACCAGCACCTCTCTTCTTTCTCCTCCCCCTAGACCTTGGTGAGTCTTTGCTTCTGAGTTTGACTATTTTAGATTTCACAAGTAAGTGAGACCATGCCGTGCATTTCTTTGTGTCTAGCTTAGTCCATATAACATCCTCTAGGACCAATTATTCATGTCCTGCCTAATTTCTTGAAGATTTAAACTTTTATATCGATAAATACTTACATTTATCTAGTCTCCTACAATAGACTGAATCCTACTTGACGGGAATGGCAACATCCCCTTCTTATTGTCAGTCAAGAGGACAGGCTATAGAGCTTATGCCTGTGTTTGACTAACGCCGTATTTCAAAATATTCTATTTTTATTTCATTGTACTAATAGCTTTCACGTGGCAGATCTTGGGCCTTTCTTCTTTGGAATTCTCCAGATTGACTGGGATCCAGACATGTGCTGTGGGTCTGGTTTTCTTTCAGAGCCAAGGGCCATTGAGTGGCATGGGATTATGTCCACTGGGGAATCAGCAAGCCACAATGTATTAGGAAGCATCCCAATGCATAGTAGATCAGAAAAGTTGTGTGTGGAATGAAATCCTTGCCCCTGACACCTTAGTCTCTGACATAGGAGGCCGATGATTACTGTACCCATACCTTAGGCTTTGTCAACCTGAGTGATCACAGAGGGCGCTTAAAACCACATAATTTACCTTCAGATTCCCAACAGGTTGCCTTTATTGACATGCTGATGTTACTAGTCACTCTTATCAGGGGATACTATGGAAGTGTTAGGATAAGACAAACTGCAATCCCCACAGAGCAACTCATTCTAGATCCAAGATCACACATTTCCCCTTGCCTATCCTGTTGAGATACATACTTATGGAAGGGCTGGACCTTTCCATAACCTTTCTCAGGAGAAAGGTTCTCCTGAGAGCCTCAGTGGCCCTCTGTGTGCCTTTCTTGACCATCCCCTACTTGGACACAGACAGAAGGAGGGAGAAGGAGAGTGAGATGTGGCTAATTCTTCTTTGAAAAGAATATGTTGTATGGAGTAGAATATAGTGTTACAAAGGATTCACTGGAAGATTCAGTCATGGGTGCCTCTATGGAGGGCAGTACTGCTGGTGGCCTCCTGGATGGAGTTACACCAGTTAACACAGGGTGCACCAATTAACATAGGGTTTGGCAAGCACTAGTTTCTTCTTGGGGGCTAATGAAAAATGAAAAGTGCCTGGATGTCTGTTTACATCCTTGGTTAAAACTGGGTAGAGGGCTGAGTCCAAGGGCTTTGCACAACTCTGGAAGGAGGCTTTACATATCAGCGTGGAGCTTCTTGAATCTCAATTCTTTCCTCTGGAAGGTCTATGCTATCTGTGGGATAGAAAAGAAACACAAATTTCTTAAATGTTACTGCCTCTGTCTGAAATCCAAGTCATCTCTCAAATGTCAGCTCATCACTCACCCTGCTAGATTCTTTCCTCCAAGCCCTCCCCACTGTCCCAGACTTTTGGCAAACTTTATTAAAGCTATCTAATTGAGCTTGGGGCTTGGGCTTAAGACTCTAGTCATAAGCACTAGTTCACCATGGAAGCCCTCAGAAGGCAAAGGCTGACTGCTGCGTAAAGTTGATACATTTCTCAACTATTAGTTGATTACAAATTATTCAACAGAAAAAGCAACACATTCTCAATTACAATGGTAGTTTTCTATGGATAGAGAATTTGTCTTGCTTGCCACTGCAAATAACCCTCAGAAGTGTTTGCTACACATTATGTGCTGAATAGATAATTTTTGCCTGACTTATAGGAAAAAACAGATAGTAGAGGCTTCTAATAATGGAATTAGGAAATTGAGACCAATTCTACCAAAAACAAATTAAAAACTAGATGATCTACAAAAACAAAAAAAATCTTAAAATTATAAGAGTTTATAGTATGGTGAGGAAATAGGGGACAAGAATCTAGCTGAAAATGAAAACTCAGAGATGTAAAACCAGAATTCAAAGTTATTTTTGTGGGGGCTGGTGTTGTGACGTACCAGCTTAAGCTGCTGCCGGCAACACTGGCATTCCATATGGGTGTTGCTTAATGTCCCAACTGTTCCATTTCTAATCTAGTTCCCTGGTAATGCACCTGGTAAAGCAGTGAAAAATGGCCCAAGTACTTAGGCCCCTGCTACCCATTGTAGGCGATCTGGATGAAGCTCCTGGTTTTGGCCTGGCCCAACCCTGGCCACCATGGCCATTTGAGGAGTGAACCAGCACATGGAAGATCTCTAACTCTGCCTTTCAAAACTGAACATAAACAAACAAACCTGAAATAAGTTTGTTTGTTTTTGTTTTTTTGTTTGTTTGTTTGTTTACCATGGGGATTTCCACTGGACTTGAATTTTTAGGTCAATTCCATGACAATTAATATTTTCATGATATTTTCAAATCATGAACATGAATATATGGCTCCAATTATTTGGGTCTTTTATTTTCTCAGTAGTTTTATGGTTTTCAGTGTCCAATGTTTTTACTTGTGAGGGCCTTTAAATTTAAGTCTATTTTGTCTTTTTTGCTTTCTTTTGTTTACTATTTTAGAATATCTCTTTCTCATCCTTTCACTGTCAACCTATTTGTATCTTTGGATCTAAACTGAGTCTTTTAAAAAAGAGACAGCATTTAGTTGGATCATGTTTCTGTAATCCATCCTGCTAATCTCTAACTTTTGTTTGGAGAGTTTAATCCATTTACATTTACAGTAATTTTTTTTTGACAGGCAGAGTGGACAGTGAGAGAGAGAGAGACAGAGAGAAAGGTCTTCCTTTTTTGCTGTTGGTTCACCCTCCAATGACCGCCGCAGCCAGCGCGCTGCGGCCGGCGCACCGCGCTGATCCGAAGCCAGGAGCCAGGTTCCTCTCCTGGTCTCCCATGCAGGTGCAGGGCCCAAGGACTTGGGCCATCCTCCACTGCACTCCCGGGCCATAGCAGAGAGCTGGCCTGGAAGAGGGGACAGAATCCGGTGCCCCGACCGGGACTAGAACCCGGTGTGCCGGCGCCGCAAGGCAGAGGATTAGCCTATTGAACCACAGTGCCAGCAAGCTTCTTGAATATTTATATTCATGTCTTTTATCAAAGGCTATTAAAACTGAAAAACTTGTAGTGAGACTGATCAATAGTTAAAAAATTAAGGCACAAAATTAAGGGATATGACTAGAGATGCTACAATCATCTGAAATGACATTCTCAGGTGAGACCGTATACATCATTTTGCCAATAAATGTAAAAATTTAGATCAGCTATTCTTACAGTATCATTTAGGAACCTTTGGATGGCTCTGAGATCCTTTTGGGAGAGGGGATCCACAATATTAAAATCATATTAATAATGCTACTGATATGTTATTTACTGTTTTCATTATCATCAATGTATAGTGGAGTTTTGCAGAGACCACATGGCAGGTGATGTTTGCAAGAGCTTGAATTCAGGAGTAGACTTGAGGATGCATATCATCTATTAATCCATAAAGAGATTTGTAACAAGTAAAATACTTCCACACTTCCCACTGTAGTATTGTTTTGTGATTACTTTAGGGTGAAATCTTTATCTGATTGATTAAAGAGGTAGACAGGCAGATAGAGGGAGGGAGACAGAGATACAGAGATCACCCATCTGCTGTTTCACTTCACAGATGCCCCACAACAGCCACAGCTGATCCAGCCTGAAGTCAAGAGTCAGGAACTAAATCTGGTCTCCCACCGGTGTGGTAGAGACCCAACTACTTGAGTCCTTACTAGCTGCTTCAAGACTCAAACCCAGGCACTCTAACATGGCATGTGGGCATCCCAAACAGCAGCTTAACCATTCCATCAAATGCCCACCCCTGAAATTATTTTTAAATGAATCAGTAAATACTTTATGGTATTATGGTAAAAATGATAGATACTAGACATGCTAAGAAGCAAATCTATATTCAGAAAAAAGTATCAGTTAATAGAACCAGACCCAGAAATGAGATGACAGAACTTGCAAATAAAGATATTAAAATAACAACTGTAACTATATTCATAAATTTAAAGGAAACATGAACATAATGAAGACAGAAAGGGGGAAATATTGAGAAGGAATCAAATGAAACCCCTAGAGATAAAATATATAATATCTGAAATGAGAACTTGATCATCTGAAATTAACAGCAGATTAGACATTATAGGAGAAAAGATCAGTGGAGTAGAAGACAATCTATGGAATAACCCCATGATTCCCAACCTCTGGTTTATGTCCCTTGTATAAACACCTTCCCTTGAGCTGGATAAGAAAAGTAAAAATGATAGACTATGTCTCCCTTGATTAGGCTATATTATATGACAAAAGTGGTGGGACAGTTACTTTTATGATTATATTACATCATAGCAGACTAGAGAGATATTCTATTAACTGGCACTGAAGAAGTAAATTGCTAACTTGTAAGATAACCAAATGGTTAGGACATGAAGATGGCTTCCGGAAACTCAGAACCAAACTCTGTCACAAACATCAAGGAAACAGCTGACTTAACTCCTACAACTACAAGGAACTTCTTTTCAGTAACAATTAGTGAGCTTGGAAGAGAATCCTAAACATCAGATGAGATTACAGTCCCAGTAGACACCTTGATTTTAGCCTGTTAAGACTCTAAGCAGAGGGCCATCTCACTTTTGCCTATGGAATAATAAAGTTGTCTTGTTTTAAGCTACTAGATTTGAGGTTAATTTTTAACATAGCAATAAAAAACTAATACACCCAATAAGAGTCCACCTCCACAAAATAGGCTAAAATTAAAAATGAACAGTTTCAGAAACCTATGGGATAATACATTCTCTATTACCTATGTAATTAGAATCTCCAAAAGGAAAAGATCTGAAGAAATAAGGCCTGAAAATTTGTCTAATCAGATAAAAATTACAGTCTGATATATCTAAGAATTTCAGTGAATCCCAGGCATCTACACACATACTTACATACATACCAAGGTAAACTATAATCAAATTACTAAAAACTAGTAACAAAAGAAAAAAATTAAAAAGTATCCAGAGGAAGGAAAAAGATGTATTACAAACAGAGAAAGAAATGAAAACTGAAGACTTTTCATAAAAAATGACAAAGAAGACAAAGGATTGGCTACTTTAAATTGTTAGAAAGGAGGCAAGCAGGTACTGGCACTGTGGCACAGTAGGTTAAGCCTATGCCTGCAGTTCCAGCATCCCATATGGGTGCTGGTTTGAGTCCTGGCTGATCCAGCTCCTTGCTAACAGCCTGGGAAACCAGCAGAAGATGGTTCAAGTGTTTGGGCCCCTGAACCCATATGGGAGACCTGGAAAAAGCTTCTGGCTCCTGATCGGCCATTGCAGCCATTTGAGGAATGAACCAGTGGATGGAAGACCTCTCTGTCTCTTCCTGTCTGGAACTCTGCCTATCAAATAAACAAATAAATCTTAAAAAAAGATGTAAACATTTTGCACAGTTGGTTAAGCAGTATGCAGGATGCCCACATCACATACTGGAGTGCTAGTTTAAGTCCTGGCTGCTCTGCTTCTGATCCAGCTTTTTGCTAATGCACATAGGAAGGCAGTGGAAGACAGCCCAAAGAATTTATGTCCCTGCCACCAATATGGGAAAGCAGTTGGAGTTCCTGATTCAAGGCTCTGTCTTACCCATCTCTGACTGTTGCTGGCATTTGACAAGTGAACCAATAGATGGGTAGATGGAATATCTCTGTCTCTGTCACTCCGCCTTTCCAGTGAATAAGTAAGTAAATAAATCTTTAAGAATAATTAAATAAATTGCTGAAAAATACATCCTGAAAGGAGAGAAGCAATAAATGTCTTCTGGTGGCAGTCATGGCATCAGCAGGTACATGAACATGGCCAAACTGCAAGTGGTTGTGGTACAAGATGTGGCACGGTGTTTAATGTTAGAGGCTCCATTCTCCTCAAGATGAATGGATGTGGCTTTTGCTGTGGTATGAGAATCTGATCAGTCTTTTTTTTCCTAAAGATTTATTTATTTATTATTTGGAAGGCAGAGTTACAGAGAGACAGAGGCGGAGATAGAGGTCTTCCATCTGCTGGTTCATTGCCCAAATGGCCACAATGACTAGAGCTGAGCCAATCCGAAGCTAGGAGCCAAGAGCCTCCTTTGGGTCTCCCACACAGGTACAGGGGCCCAAGGACCTGGGCCATCTTCCACTGCTTTCCCAGGACTTAGCAGAGAGCTGGATTGGAAATGGAGCAGCCAGGACTTGAACCAGTGCCTGTATGGGATGCTGGCACTGCAGGCAGTGGCTTTACCCACTATACCACAGAACCTGCCCCTGCTCAGTCTTTTTCCTTTGCTGACTTTAAACTTATTTTTCCACTTCCTTAGGCATCACTTAGAGGTACCTAAATAGCCTTTCAATATATTTTCTCTCTGCTCAGATCAAGTAAAACTATTTTCTATAACAGAACAAAGAAGAGTTCTTAAAAACAAGAAAAAAACTTAAATTTATTTCCTACCTACCCTATTTTCTTGTAACCATTTCAACCTGGTAGGTGGTGGGGTCAAATTAATGGAATACTGTACCTAAGGCATATAGCTACCTCCTTTATCCAAATTTATGCATTTCTTCAAATTTTCCTTCAAAACTCCTTTCCTATTCAAGCTTTCCTTGCCATTTACATGTTCTAGTCATTCCTTGGATGAATGACTGTTATAGAATGAATTATCCTCAGCCCTTAATTCATCTGTGGACGCCCTTACCCTTAATGTGACTTTAAGGAGACAATTAAGGTTAAATGAGGCCATAAGGTGGGGCCCTAATCCAATAGGACATATATCCTCATAGGCACAAGTAAGAGAGACCAGAGATCCATCCCTCTCTCTCCGAGAGAACAGGTATAGAAAGGTCATGTCAGGACACAGCAACTGTCTACAAGCTAGGAAGAAAGCTCTCATCAGCAATCAAATGTTACAGTTCCCTGATCTTGGACTTTCAGCTTTCAGAATTGTGAGGACATAAATTTCTGTTGTCAAGGCACCCAATCTGCGGCACTTTGTCATAACAGCTCTAACTTGCTGATACAACTACTGATAATCATAAGGTGGAGGGAATACAGCCTTCAAACTTCTTTATATAGAAAGTACAGCATCTTTATTTAACTCAGTTAAAATCCAAGATCTCCCTGCCACTTATAGACTGGAGTGAAATGGGCTTAAACCTTCCATTTCATAGCATATGAAAGACCACTGACCCTCAATTGATTTATTCAAATTTCCTAGCATATTTTTCCAAGGTCCCTGTGGATCCATTCCTGCAACCCTAAGTGGTGTATCATTTCAACTCTTGCCACTGGGTATATGGAATTTTAGGCTCCTCACCATTGTACACAAGAAGTTCTATTAACTCATGGTTTTGTGATTGCACCAACTTTACTTAAGGTTCCAGAGTGTGGAAGGGAACCATAATCCATTCTGCACAGTCATCTGTCTCCTAATTAGTTTTCTCTTTGACACTGGCCTGAGTTCCCAAACTAGTCACTCACTGTGTGATTCTCCCCCAGAACATTCTAAGAAATGAACTCCAACTTTACCTTCTCTTGCTGGGTCTATTGCACTTCCTTAACCCTGAGTTATTTAATTGAATAAAAAATGTCCTTCCCTTTACAGAGAAATCTGTCCATGTCACTCCCTTGTTTTAAACTCACTGGCCACCTCCTGATGGCATGCATGCAGAGACTAGGCCCTAGCCCAGCATTCCTTCACTCTTCAACATATGTCACCAATAACTGAAGCTCCATAAAGCACTGTCAGCCCTAATGGCCATGATACTTAGTCTGTCCTGCACAGAGGAGTCTGGCCCACTGATGTCAATGCTACTTTTGCCTGCTTCCTCACTGCTCCTGCAGGCCAGTCCTCCTGTCTCTTGGATAGCTTTCAGTTACCTACAATTCCTACCTGGAATTCAGTTACCTACAATTGTATACCTGCAATACAGTGGGTACTAAATAACTGTGATGGATGAACGTGTGAGGAAGTGAACAAATAAACACCCATGCTTGTAATCTTCCAAGGGATCTCTCTGCTTGGATGATGAAGTCCCAGGTCTGAAGGCTGATCAAAGGGTCATCCAGAAGCTGTGCCCAACCCATACAGTCAGCCTTCCACATCTGTGGGAGTCTAGGATACCAAAATCTGCAGATGCTAAAATCTGTGGGTGCTCCAGTCCCTTACATATATATAATATGGATATCTAACTTACATATATATATAACACATCATTTCTGGAGTACTTATATACAGGCTAATACACTCTCAATGCTACATAAATATTTGTTACACTGTATTAAGAAATATAGTCATTTGCCTCAAAAGGAAGCTTTGATTGACAATTAACTGCATATATGATGGTGTTCCCATATTATTATAACAAGACTGAAAAGTTTCTATAACCTAGTGACTCATATCTGTTTTATGTAGTACAATGCATTGCTCATGTGTTTGTGGGAAATCTGATGCAAACAAACCTATTGCATTGCCAGTCATATAAAAGTGTAATGCATACAATATGTGCAGTAAAAAGTATTGATAATAATAATAAATGACAAATTTTAGTGGTTTATGTATTGACTATACTTTTAAAATTTTTTAAATTGAGAGAAATAGATTAGGATAGAGGGACTTCAGATCCATTGGTACACTCCCCAAATGCCCATAATGGCCAGGGCTGAGCCATTCGGAATCTGGAAGCTGGGAATGCAATCTAGGTCTCCTACCTGGGTGACTGGTACCCAACTACTAGTCATTACCTGCTGCCTCCCAGCATGTGCACTAGCTGTGGCGGAATCAGGAGTGAAACCAGGTCTGATTCCAGATTCTCTGACATGGGATGCAAGTATCCCAAACAATGTCTTAAGTACTAGGCCAAACATTTGCCCTTACATTTTTCATCATTGTTAGAGTATATTCTTTATACTATAAAAAATAAGCTTACTACAAAACACTGTGTATTATAGCAACAGTATCCCCATAATCTTGTATTTACTGTGTATCTCTTTTTAAAAATATTTATTTTATTTGCAATGCAGAGAAATGAAGAGGGACAGGGAGGTGTAAGAAGGGGAAAGAGAGAGGGGGAGGAAGAAGGAAGATGTTCCATCCACTGATTCACTACTCAAAAGCCCACAACAGTCAGGGCTGGCCTAAGCTGAAGCCAGGAGCCTGAACTCTATTTGGTCTCCCATCTTGGTAGCAGTGACCTAAGTACTTGAGCCCTTATCTCTTATCTTCCCAGGATGTGCACTAGCAGGAAGCTGGATCAGAAGCAAAGTTGGCAGGACTCAAATCAGACATTTCGATATGGGATGCTGACATCCCAAATGCTGACTTAAATGCTTCATCAAATGCCTGGGCCTAATGTCTCTGAATGCATCATTTCCCCTCAGGCATGATTTAATCTCATGTTGTTTGTTTTCATCATGGTCCTAAGAGCAACAGGCTATGCCCTACACATACACACACACAGAGCACATAGCCTAGATGTGTAGACTATACCACCTAGCTTTGAATAAGTACACTCTGTGATGTTCACCTAACAAAAACTGCCTAATGATACATTTAACAGAATGCATCCCTACTGTTATGACTAACAATGAGAAAAACTGTCTGAATGTGTTTGGTACAGACATAACCACTAGAAGCCTAAGTTTGTAATGTACAAAGATATAACAATATAACAATTTTTCCTCAAATATTTCCAATCTGTGATTGGTTGAATACTCAGATGTGGAACCCACAGATACAGAGGGGGCTGACAGTATTTTCTGACACTCTCTAGTCTTCATCCCCCCAGCCCAACTTCCCAGACATCGTCAGGTGTTGTCAGAGACATGAAAAGCAGATACCACTCTGTTTTCTGGAAGCACCCTGGTAGGAATGGAGAGATACAAGCAGGCTACATCTTAACTTACCTGTTTGATTTCTAGCTCTTTCAAGCAATTGTTCTGTCTTCATCTTTCTCTGCCTGGAAGGAAGCAGACCATCTATGAACTCATATATCTCTCTTATAAAAGGCAATAATTCAAGGCAGTGACCAGAAAAACAACATTATCTAATCAGATTCTCATTTGGGCAGAGGGTTTATGCTTCTACCCTTTAAAGGATAAGTCACACATCAAGTAAAGACCAGGCCTAATGACCCATGCTTTCCACTAACTGACATTCCTCGTCCAGGATGTTCCTTCCCTCTTCCACCCTGAAACGTGCAATCCTATAACATTGTCCTGCAAGGATTCTCACATGTCATCTTCCTGGGCAGATAAAAAGACTATGGCCCAGAAACTGGTAATGATTTTCTCAGGGTCACTTGTAAATAAGGGGCAAAACAGGGACGAAAACTCTGTTTTCTGAACTTGCTCTTTGCACAGCACCCTCCTCTCCAGTTTGTGGTAGGTAGAAGGATGAAGGCACTTGTTTGGGGCAAACCCTCAGGCCCTGCTCTCTAACTAACTGGTCACACTAAATCCATAGTAACAGATTTGACTAAGCTTTAGTGACAGTCCTTCTCCTGAAAATAGTCTTGGGTTGGGAATGTGGAAGAGGTATAAGGAGGCCACAGGTAGCATGAGAAGAAATTAGGGGTTTAGATCATGAACTCCATCTTCTGATGTGGGATTACAAGAAGAGCTTAACTCTGTTCTTTCTCAACATTCTTTACAAACCCATTTTATTACTCTTACTTTTGGAAAAAGTCAACTAAAGTTACCAATATATACTTACCAGAGAAAATAAAATAGTGCACCAATGCAAACTGCAGAAATAATATCCATGATAAGCCATATGAACATATAGTATCCTGGTGTCTGCAAAACATGAAACCAACCACAGGTAATGAACTTTAAAGTTGGAAGGGGATTTTAGATCATATGGGCTCAGTCACTTGCTCTGCTGTCAGAGCTGGAGGACAGGAGGGGAGGAGAGACCAGGTGAAGGAGCCTTGACTGAGGTGGCAGTCTCACACATGGAGAGCACCTGCAGCTCCTCCTCCCAGTTACCTCTCACACAGGCAGGGGCTCAAACACCACTCCTTATTCTCAATACACACGTCTGAGGGAGTCCCAGAGAAATCACACAGCAAGTCCACTCAGGACCCAACACGCAAACCCCAGGTTTCTGGATTTCTAGTACCTACCTCTATGTTTTCCTTGTATGGCTTCCCAAACTTGGCTGTGTAGTCAAATCTACTAGGGCAGCTTTTAGTAACACACATTCCCGGGGCTGAGGACAGACCCAAGAATCAGAATTTTAACATGCTCCCCTGGCGATGCTGAAGCAATTAGTCTGTGACCCAGCTCTGGGGAACCACTGTCAAATCGTCACGCTTCAAAGAAGTATGTTAAAGTATAATTCTCCCTTACCTACATCTCTCCTCCCCTAAGTCCCTGGCACAAATCATCCATTTTCCAGGGCTCCACTTTCTGAATCTGCTCATATGAGTTTTATAATTCCCTGGTTTGACATTCCCTTCCCACCTCAACTGTTCCTCCTCAAATTTCACTTGATGTTACCAACTGGGCATTTTCTGTTTTCATGCCAACCTAACCCAAATTGTTTCCTTGAACTGAATAATAATAACATGAATGATTGTAACAATGATAACAACAACTGACAATCACTGGGCACTTACCAGGAGCTAGGCAAGTGTTCTAAGTACTTCAGGGGCATTTTCACATTTAATCTTTTTTTTTTTTTTTTTTTTTTTGGACAGGCAGAGTGGATAGTGAGAGAGAGAGACAGAGAGAAAGGTCTTCCTTTTTGTCATTGGTTCACCCTCTAATGGCCGCTGCGGCTGGCGCGCTGCAGCCGGCGCATCGCACTGATCCGAAGCCAGGAGCCAGGTGCTTCTCCTGGTCTCCTATGGGGTGCAGAGCCCAAGCACTTGGGCCATCATCCACTGTGCTCCGGGGCCACAGCAGAGAGCTGGCCTGGAAGAGGGGCAACCGGGACAGAATCCGGCGCCCCGACCGGGACTAGAACCTGGTGTGCCGGTGCCGCAGGCGGAGGATTAGCCTAGTGAGCCGCGGCGCCGGCCCACATTTAATCTTCACAACAGTCCTACAAGTCAGGTGCACGAGAAAGCTCTGAACCAATTTCCAGTAAATCAAGACTCTTGATCATTTCTGAGAAACATACTGATTGATTCCTAGGTTGTTGATTGCTCCAGGATGCCAACCTGGTGATCTGAGTATTCACCAAGAATCAGTTGTCCCTGTTCCCCAAAAACCAGGTCAACTGTACTTGTTATTGTAAGTATGCAATATAATTAAACGTTGCTTAAATCTCTAACATCTGAGTGAAATAATATCATTTTCTTTTTTTAAAAAATATTTTATTTTTATTCATTTGAAAATCGGAGTTACACAGAGAGAGGAGAGGCAGAGAGAAAGAGAGAGAGGTCTTCAATTTGATCGTTCACTCCCCAGTTGGCTGTAATAGCTAGAGCTGCACTAATCCGAAGCCAGGAGCTTCTTCCGGGTTCTCCTACACGTGTGCGGGGCCCAAGGACTTGGGCCATCCTGTACTGCTTTCCAAGGCATAGCAGAGAGCTGGATCGGAAGTGGAGCAGCTGGGTCTCGAACTGACACCCATATGGGATGCCCGCTCTTCAGGCAAGGGCGTTAACCTGCTGTGCCACAGCACTGGTCCCAAAATATACTATTTTCAAGAAAACTAAGCCAAACGTTTTCAAAGATTCCATGAAGACAGAATAGATCATTTTTTTAAATTGCAATTAGATTACGTGTCAAAAACATACTATCTGAGATTAGGGCAGGAGGACTAGAAAATTCAAGGCATATCTCTCAGATTGTCTGAATGATTTTAAGTATATTTTCTGTTTTAAAGAAACAAAAATTAGAAGTTATAACTAGATTTGTTTAAATAAGAAAGCATATAACTCAATCAGCTGAAGTATCTTCAAAGAAAATATTTTGCCTCTATCAAAAGGTGAATTTTTGGGGCCAGTGCTGTGGTGTAGTGGGTAAAGCCGCCGCCTACAGTGCTGGCATCCCATATAGGCACCGGTTCAAGTCCCATCTTCTCCACTTCTGATCCAGCTCTCTGCTATGGCCTGAGGAAGCAGAAGATGGCCCAAGTCCTTGAGCCCCTGCACCTGTGTGGGAGACCTGGAAGAACCTCCTGGCTCCCGGCTTCAGATCCGCTCAGTTCCAACCATTGCGGCCATCGGGGAGCGAACCAGTGGATGCAAGACCTCTCTCTCTCTCTCTCTCTCTCTCTCTGCCTCTCCTTCTCTCTGTGTGTAACTCTGTCAAATAGATAAGTGAATCTTTAAAAAAAATAAAAGGTGAATTTTTAAAATATGAGGTAAGGGCATGTTACATTGTTTATCAAAACCACAATACTCTTTCCAATTCTATTTGCAGGCCCCTATGCAACCTTACTTAGCTGTTCCTCTCATTCAAAAGGTAAAGTTTGTTTCTCTCACCTTGGCTCTGAACTTAATCATGTGATTCTCTTTAGCTAACAGAAAATTAGCAGACATAACACTGGGAAAATTTTGAAAACTTTGTGTGCACTGGGACTCTGCCTTCTGTTGTGACTGGTAACCCATCTGCATTAGGGGAACACACTCCAGTTAGCCTCCATAAAGGTGTTGCTACCACATGAAGAGAAACCGAGTTATCCCATTAAGACTCTAGACAAATGAATGAAGCCATCCTAGACCATCTCGTTCAGCCAAGCAGGCCCAGGCCAGAGGAAACACCTAGCCATCATACAGAACATAAGGTGTAATATTAGTTTGTTTTAAGACACTAAGTTTTAGATGGTTTCATTAAGCATTAAAAGCTAACTTACAGAGTGTGTGCATGTGGAGGAGTATATAAATTTTTTTTCCTGATCTCTCATTTCTTTCTCCCTCATAACTTTCTCTATTAACAGTGATCAGACCAAAGGTAATGGATAAAAGTGCTTCTACCACACTATTATTCTTCTCAGCCCTCAGAAAGCCAAACAGTTACCAGTAAATGTAACTGTCATATACATCACGATGGAAATACTGTTCCTAGGAGATAATAAGCCATATATGAATGTAGTATACAACTGTAGGGTTGGCATTTAGTCCTGAAGTGTTCACCTCTTTCATGTCTATTTACAGTGTATTCCTATTGACTAAGTGGGGAGGGGTCTGCTTTATAGAGTGCTTCATTGTTAAGTCAGTACCTGTTCTGTTTCTGGGATGTTCTTTTTGTGCATTAAAAAATTTCAAAATTAAAAACAAAACAAAACAAAAACATTAACTAATGTCTCCACCTTTACACACCTACATGATACAGCTAAAGTCTAAGTTGTAAAGTTTAACTCCAGATTGTAGACTGCCTAGAAAAGTCTGTGGGACACCACCCATTCCTGAACAAAATGACACATGAAAGGCTAGGAACAACACAATGAGTCCTTAAAAAAGTGTCCAGGCCAGGCATGGAAGATTTTTTTTTATCCTTTTATATTTTTTGAACTTTGAATCTCATGAAATATCGTGAATTCAAATATTAAAATAATGCCTGAAGAAATGGTAGCATCATTTAAGTAAATGTGCACCTCCAAAAGGAACTTTGACATTGATTCTAGAAGATAAGATTATGTAGGGGTATGCTGATTTCTAAGTTATACATTTTTTAAATGACTGAACTATGACCAAATTTACTTCTGTAATCAATTTAGAAAAATATAGTGGGGCTGACACTGTGGCATAGTGAGCTAAGCCTCCTCCTGGGTGCCGATATCCCATATGGGCACCGGTTTGAGGGCAGGCTGCTCCATTTCCTATCCAGCTCTCTGCGATGGCCTGGGAAAGCAGTGAAAGATGGCCCAAGTGCTTGGGCCCTTGCACCCACGTGGGAGACCCAGAAGAAGCTCCTGGCTCCTGGTTTTGGATCAGATAAGCTCTGGCCATTGTGGCCTTTTGGGGAGTGAACCAGAAAGGAAGACCTTTCTCACTCTACCTCTCAAGTAAGTAAATCAATCTTTTTTTTTTTTTAAAGAAAAATATAGTAAACACATGAAGGGGAGCTAAATGGGGACAGGTGGATGAACCTTAAATGATGGGTTCCTGAGCTGAGGGACCTGCCATTCAAAGTTCCCCTCAGGGTCAGCTCCAGAAACTGCCTAAGACACTAGAGAAAGAAGGGTCAGTGATTCCACATTTCCATCATAGGGCCTTAAAGAAGTACTGTGCCCTTGACCTTGATTCTTTTTCTCCAGTCCTGACACTGAGTTAGTTGGAAACAGACGCAAGTAAGGGTGGAGATATGAAAGGGAACCTGAGACTCCTCCCCACTTATGGTTCTGTGCCTAATGCTTCAACGTGCAAGGCAGTTTGAAGTTTGGGTGATTCCTTTTGACTGGACACTTAATACTGAAATGAGCCTTTATGATGACTAAAAGTGAACTCCTAAAAATCATCCAAGAGTGAGTGGAAAGGTTATGGGGAGTGAGTGGAAAGGTTATGGGAACTGAGTGAGATTTAATTCAAGGGCAGAAAGGCCTAGCTCACAGACCAGTTCTAGGGAAACAATGGAGCGCCATTGTGTCCCATTCAGTCAACCTATTCTCCACATCGATAGGAAAAACAGCCTGTAGCAGTAACTCATTAGCTCCCCCGACGGGTAATAACCACTAGGATTTAGATGGATTATAATTCGGTTTTCAGGTCCCCAAGCCTCTGGCAGTGAGTATCAGAAGGGCTATGATGGGAAACCAGGACAGGCAATTTGACACTGGTGCTATTTCTTCAAAGGCATTTTGTGAAGGACACACCATTTTCACTATAAAAACAAGCACTTCTGGTTTCCTCCCACATCCCATGCCCTTGCCCATTGTTGCTGCACCTCTAGGAAGCTGGGGCTGCAATGACCAATCTCTGGAGGCAGACTGAATCCCTACATCATGAGATGACATGGAAAACACTGTAGAGCTTCAGTTTCTACATGAAGTAATAACAGTGGCTAATATCAGAGAGTTAAATTAAATAATGTATGTAAAGCACATTTTAAGGGTTCAGTCTTATAACAATGCCCATGTCTCCCAGAAAGTCACAGGAGGATCTGGGTGAGGGAATGGAGAATGCCACATCTCAATACTCTTAGAAATCCCTGCTATTAAGTAGCTCCCAAGGGTCTGCACAGTCAACAACACAGGGATGGGGGATGGGGGATGGGGACACAAATTCCTTCTGTACCAGGCTTGGAAGAACACTCTGGGCAAGCAGCTCACCATGAAGAAGTGAGGGGAATCAAGCTGACTCAGGAGCGGAATGTTGTCTGTGGTCACCGAGTCAATCCTGGAGCACCAGGCCAGTGAGAAGAGCCAAGGCTCGTTGACCAGGTATAAGTTGATGTTGATGTTAGCTGCTTTATAATCCCTGGAACAAAAAGAGAACCCACAGAGGGTTTAGACCCAGCCTTGTTCTCATTATCTAGAAGGTGGAACAACCACCATCTTTGTGAAAGGCTACTGCCTATATCAGCAGAAGCAGCTGGTCCAGGGGCAACTTAGGATACCATGTGACAGCATGGGCTCATGTTGCAGTGAAATAAAGAACTGGATTTAATCCTGCTCCTATAGCAATAATAGTGGTGTGCTAGTAAACTATATGTCCTTAGGAGGGTTAGCAAAAAAACAAGAAAAGGAAAGAATGGAGGAAAAACTGAAAAAAGTAAGCCCTATTTGTAGCATCTGCAAATTTCCATAGCATAAACATTACTATTACAGGCAAATTCAAGCTATTACTGGTAAAAACCAATTTTTTAAAGTCCACGAATATTTAATAACTAGCTTCTACAAGGTTGTATGAGTCAGCTCTGGCATGCTACTTGTAACACCTATACTCAACTTGCTATACGACACTTACTACCCCACTCCAAAGATTTGCTCACCTACAACTCTTCTGAACTCCATCATGCAAGTTAAAGCAGAGAATGTATCCTATTCATCTCTGTATACCTAGCATAGTCTCTGACTCCATGTATATTAATTGAAGGAATTAACAAATATCTGGTAAACATTTTAAATTTCAAACGTGAAACATTTTATAAACACTCAGTAAGGACAAGAAAAACCCAAATTTTTCCAAAGCCCTATGACTCAGGGGATCCTTGTGTACTTTTTATAAACAGGAAGAAAACAAGGTAAGGACTGCTTAGTAATTCTAGTCTAGTTGTCACTATTTGAGTTCAGTTTCTCAGAAAACACACCATGTAATAAGTGCCTTCAAAGTTTTTAACATAAACCTGGTACAGCATATTGGAAACTGCTCTGCACTAGCCCAGGTTTGAATCCCAACTCTGCTATATACTGACTTGGCAAATATTTATTCTTGATGTACACACTGTAAAATAATAACACCACCATCTCCATTGTAAAGTGCTAGCAATTAGCTACCCAATATATTAGGATTATCTCTACAATTCCACAGATCACCTAAAGATAAATTTGAAGAACAGAAATTAGATATAATAGTAAAATGCTACTTCTGTTCCTCTTTTGAAATCCAAACTCAAAAATCAATCACAGAAGAGGTGTTCAGCATGCTGTTAAGCCATCAGTTGGAATGCCCATATTCCATATCAGAGAACCTGGCTTCAAGTCCCAGCTTTGCCTTCAAAGTTAGCGTCCTGCTGATCTGCACCCTGGGAAGCAGCAGGTGATGTTCAAGTGGTTGGGATCCTACAGCCCATGAGGAGACCTGAATTGAGTTCTGAGATTCTAGTTGGGCCTAGCCTTGGCAATTGCTGGTAATCAGGCAGTGAACCAGTGGATGGGAGCACCCTTTCCCTCAAATAACACTTTTTAAAAATCACAGTTCTGGGGCTGGCATCATGTTGTAGCAGGAAAAGCCAGTGCTTGTAGTGCACACATCCCATATGGTCACTGGTTCGTGTCCTGGCTGTTCTACTTCCAATGCAGCTCCCTGCTAATGGCCTGGGAAAAGCAGCAGAAGATGGCCCAGGTGTTTGAGTCCCTGCACCCACTTGGGAGACCAGAATGAAAGCTTCTGGCTCCTGGCTCCAACAGGGCCCAATTTTGGCTACTGTGGGCATGTGGGGAGTGAGCCAGTAGATGAGAGGTCTATTACTCTACCAATATCTCTCTCAAAAATATTTTTTTACTTATATAATTATCATATGATAAAGTTGCAGAGAACTATATACTTATATATATATATATACACACATGCAAATGAATATAAATTTGGAAAATTTGAATAAGATCAGTAGATTACATCAATGTAAATGTCTTGGTTGTGATACTGTACTATAGTTTTACAAAGTGTAACCACTGGAGGTACACAGAATCTTTATATACAGTTCATATATGTTAACTGTATCTATTCAATATGAAAAACTTAATTTTTAAAAACACTATTAATTTTAAAATATACTGTGGAGTTTACAGTATATACAGAAATAAAGTATATGAAAATAAAAGCACAAAGTATAGTAGACAGTACATGGAATTACACTGCCCTGAATTTTGAATATCCTTTATTTTACATTGTAGAATGTTAGATATTAACTCTAATAACTTAAGGACGCTGTTCATAATACCTAGAGAAAACACTAAAAAATAATTCAAAGACATAAATAGCTAGTATCGGAAAGGAATAACAAAAAACCCACAATGAATTGAGAGGACAAATAGAAAAAAGAGTATGACAGTGATGGAAACCAAACTATATTAATAAGTAAACTAAGTATTAATGGACCAAACATTCCAATTAAAGAGATTGGGCTAGCTCCACGGCTCACTAGGCTAATCCTCCGCCTGTGGCGCCAGCACCCCTGGTTCTAGTCCCAGTTGGGGCGCTGGATTCTGTCCCGGCTGCTCCTCTTCCAGTCCAGCTCTCTGCTGTGGCCCAGGAAGGCAATGGAGGATGGCCCAAGTGCTTGGGCCCTGCACCCGCATGGGAGACCAGGAGGAAGCACCTGGCTCCTGGCTTCGGATCGGAGCAGCGCCAGCCGTAGCGGCCATTTGAGGGGTGAATCAACGGAAAAAGGAAGACCTTTCTTTCTGTCTCTCTCACTGTCCACTCTGCCTGTTAAAAAAAAAAAAAAAGCAGAGATTGTCCAACTAGATACAAAAGCAAGAGCCAATAATCTTGTTTATAAAGAGACATATTTTAAATATAAAGATGCAAAGTAATAGCAACATAAAACATACACAAACACAAATAGTAAGAAAGATAGTGTGCTGATATACACATAAGAAAAAGTAATATTCAAATAGGAATTATTACCAGAGACATTTTACAATGAGAAAATTCACCAAGAAGATACAATTATCCTGAAAGTAAATGCACCTAATAAAAGTGTTTCTTAAAGAAACCAAAAGAAAAAAGACAAAATAATTAAAAGGAGAAAGACACAAATAAACACCATAGTTGGAGATATTAAACACTCCTCTTTTGGTAACTGACATATTAGGCATAAGGAACTGTTCTTTTCTCTCTGACTGGAGGGACTGCTCCCAGAAGAAAGAAGACTGGAGGTTTAGACTACTCTCCTTGTTAATGTGATAGCTCTATCTTTTGTACATAGAATACTGACTTTTTTAGGAAGAGAGGCTTTTTATATGTAATGTTCTTAAAAAGGATATTCCTACTTAAGTGTTTCTTTATTAAATATTTTGTAAATAAACAATGAATTCATGAGGCATAGGTCTCTGGAGAATGACACATAAACTAGATAATTTTCTAGGAATAATAAAGGAAGCATTTCCTAGCCCAAATGCTTCCTTTGTGTGTGATAACCCTGAAAAACTTCCTTGGAAGCTTTATATATTACTCTGGGCCACAGAGTATGTGTCCAATAAAGGAAAAACACCTGCAGAGCTGGAACAATGTCTCTGATCTTTCCTGGCTTTGTGTGAGTCTCTTAACTGCCCACTGTATCCTTGAAACTAATAACAAATGTAGACAGTAGGCAGATTCTCTGATGTGTGTGACCCATGTGAAACCTAATCTTTTGTGTTAGTTCAACAGAAAGAAGAGGAGGAAAATTAGTATGCTTTTAAAAACATAATAAATCAACTCGAATCAAGTACATTTATAGAATAGTATACCCCACTATAGGTCTACTATAGGTCATACAGCTTTCAGGGGTATAAATTCACCAAGATAAATCATACAGTAGCCACAAAATAAGTTTTAATACATTTATAAAAATTGAGGGACCAGCACTGTTTTGTAGTGGGTCTTACGCGCCACCTGCAGTGCTGGCAACCCATATAGGTGCCAGTTCAAGTTCCGGCTGCCACTTCCAATTCAGCTCTCTGCTATGACCTGGGAAAGCAGTAGAAGATGGCTCAAGTCCTTGGGCTCCTGCGCCCATGTGGGAGACCCAGAAGAAGCTCCTGGCTTTAGGCTTTGGATCGGCACAGCTCCAGCAATTGTGGTCAATTGGGGAGTGAACCAGCAGATGGAAGACCTCTCTCCCTCTGCCTCTGCCTTGCTGTAACTCTGCCTTTCAAATAAATAAATAAATAAATATTTTTTAAGAAAGAAACTGAGAGAACAAATTAAGCCTACAGCAGGAGAATGAAAGTTTATAAAGATCAGAAATCAAGGAAATAGGAAAATAAAACTGCAATAGGAAAAAAGCTAACAAAACCAAAATTTAGCATTTTTAAGTGATCAAAAATTTCATAACCCTGATATAAGACTGACCAAGAAAAAGAGAGAAAATAAAAGTTTCCAGTATCAAAATACATTAACACTAGAGGTAGTAGTTGCCCAACATTGTCCATGTACTAACTATTGAATTGTTTACTTTAAAAACATTAACTTTATGTTACTGGAATTTTACTCCAATAAATTATTTAATTAAAATGCTAAAAGTACTAAAAATAGATCAGTTATAAGTGAGGAGATCGAATCAATAATAAAAGTCTCCCAGTCAAGAAAGTCCAAGTCCTGACAGAGTCACTGCTGAATTCTAGCAAACATCTAAAGAAGTAATGTCAATCTTTCTCAAACTCATCCACAAAACTGAAAAGAAGAATACTTCCAAACTGGTTTTAAAAAGCATTACTCTGATACAAAAGCCAGACAAGGACACAGTGAGAAAAGGATGGGCCAATGTCCCTGATGAACATAAATATCATCAATAAAATATTAGCAAACCAGTTCAACAGGATATTAAAAAAGATCATTCACTATGATCAAGTGAGATCTTTGGAAGCCAGGATGATTCAATAACTCAATAAATGTGACACATACAACATTAACAGTGAAGGACAAAAACCATAGATACAGAGAAAGTATTTGACAAAATCCATCCTTTCGTGATTAAAAATAATAATCATGTGTAGAAAGAATGTTCCTCAAAACAATAAAGGCCATATATAATGAGCCCACAGCTAACATTACACTCTGTGGTGAAAAGCTACAGGCATTTCCTCCAAGATCAGGAACACAAGGATGTCTTCTCTCATCACTTCTTTTTAACATAGTATTGGAAGTCCTGGCCAAAGCAATTAGGCAAGAGAAATAAATAAAAAGCCTCCAATGGGAAAGGAGGAAGTAAAACCCTTTCTGTTTACAGATGACATGGTCTCTTATACATAAATCCCTAAAGACTAAACCAAGAAAACTGATAAAAGACATAAATTCAGTAAAGCTGCAGGATACAAAATCCATGTGCAAAAATCCACAGTATTTTTTTTTTAAAGAATTACTTATTTATTTGAAAGAGTTACAGAGAGACAGGGAAAGAAGGAGCAAGACATCTTTCATCTGCTGGTTCATTCCCTAAATGGTTGCAACAGCCAGGGATGGGCCAAGCTGGATCCAAGAGCTTCATCTAGGTCTCCCATGTGTGTGGCTGGGGTCCAAGCACTTAGGCCATCTTCCACTGCTTTCCCAGGCCATTGGTAATGAAGTGGATTGGAAATGGAGCAGCTGGGACATGAGCCAGCACCCATATGGGATGCTGGCGTTACAGGCAGTGGCTTTATCCACTAGCCACAACACTGGTCCCCACAGTATTTCTATACACTAATAATGAACAATAGCAACAAAAATAAAATACTTAGGAATATATTTAATTAAAAAGATGAAGGATCTCATGCTATAAAACACTGTTGAAAGAACTTAGAGAAGACACAAACAGAAAGCTAACCCATATTTATGGATAAGAAAACTTAATATTGTTAAAATGTCTATACTAGCCAATGTTATCTACAGACAATGCAATCCCTGTTGAAATTCTGAGGTACTTTTTCACAGAAATAGAAAAACAATTTTTAAATTAATATGAAACCATGAAAGACTTCCAAGGAATCTTGAACAAAAAGAACAATGCTGGAGGCATCAGATTCCCTGCTTTTAAAATATACTAGAGTTACTATAATCAAAATAATGTGGTATTGGCATAAAAAAAGATACATCAACTCAACACAGAGAACAGACAGCCTGAAATAAACGCACCCACTTATGGCCCAGTGATTTTTGACAAAGGTGCCAAGAACACACAATGAGGAAAAGACAGTCTTCAGTAAAGGTGCTGGGAAGATGGGTTATCTTCATAGAGAAGAATGAAGTTAGACTCTTACTCACACCATATATAAATGATAAAGGTGTAACTATAACAGGGCTAGCATTATGGTATAATGGAGCCAGTTTGAGTCCTATCTACTCCACTCCTGATCCAATTCCATGCTATGTTACCTGGGAAAGCACTGGAATCTGGCCCAAGTCCTGGGACCCCTGCCACTCACATGGGAGACTCAGATGGAGTTTCAGGCTCCTGGCTTTGGTCTGGCCCAGCACTGGTCATTGTGGCCATTTGGGAAGTGAATCAGCAGATGGAAGATCTGTGTGTGTGTGTGTGTGTGTGTCTTTCTATCTCTCTTTCAAATAAACAAATCTTTAAAAAATAATAAAATGGTTGGAAATTCTGTGGCACAGTGAGTAAAGCCACTGCCTGCAATGCTGGCATTCTATATGGGCACCATTTGTGTTGCGACTGCTCCACTTCCAATACAGCTCCTTACTAATGGGCTGGGAAAAACAGCAGAAGATGGCCCACGTGCCTGGGCCGCTGCCACCCACATAGGAGAACTGGAAGAAGCTCTGGGTCCAGACCCAGCTATTGTGGCCATCTGTGGAACGAACCAGAGGTTGGAAGATCAATCAATCTCTCTGTCTCTCCCTCTCTCTCTATAACTCTCACTTTCAAAAAACAAATCTCAAATAAAATAAATAAAATAGTATAAAACAAGGCATCTCTATATTCACATAAATTTCAGTAAAATAAGGTATTTAAAACATTACTGATCAAAATATCAAGTTTACAATATCTCAAGCTTGTTCTGATGGATTAGGATGTGAACACTGATCACAGAGAATTTACTGAAAATATGGTTGCAATAAAAATATTCTTGTTATTACATAAATATTAAAGGTGTAACTGCTAACTTGGGTAACTTAGAAGTCTAACGCGGGGCCGGCGCCATGGCTCACTTGGTTAATCTGCCGCCTGCGGCGCCGGCATCCCATATGGGCGCCAGGTTCTAGTCCCAGTTGCTCCTCTTCCACTCCAGCTCTCTGCTATGGCCCAGGAAGGCAGTGGAGGATGGCCCAAGTCCTTGGGCCCCTGCACCTGCATGGGAGACCAGGAAGCAGCACCTGCTCCTGGCTTCGGATTGGCACAGCGCCAGCCATAGCAGCCATTTGAGGAGTGAACCAATGGAAGAAAGACCTTCCTGTTTTTCTCTCTCTCTCACTGTCTATAATTCTACCTGTCAAATAAAAAAAAAGAAGTCTGAGGCTAATGATTTAGAATAAAGTCCTGCTTGTGAACTTACACAATCAGCTTCGCAGTAGAGCAAATGAAAAACACCTGACTCTCCTTACTACAGCATACACATTCCTTATGGAGAAGGATTGAGTCTAGCTTACACTGATCTTGAACATGAAAATGTCATTGTATATTGTACATAGTACTACTCATATTACTTATTCATAATAAGTATTTGCTGAGCTAAATCATTTGACTTTATAGTAGGATCCTTGTTAAATCTGATGTCAGCTGCAGCTATGCCTGTGTAACTATGGCCACTGAGTAACTTTAAAGATACAGTAGGGGAAGAATTTGGTCCCTGAAGTCTCTAAGACCTATATTTAAATCCCAGGTCTACCACTGACCAATTCTATCAACTGGGGTGAACTAGCTAACTCTGTCAATGGGAAATGATAAATACACAGCACAACATAGAGGGATGGTGACACTAAAAGCAGCATCTAACATTTACTGTCATCTTATGTTTGCCCGGATTGCTGTGTGCATAATAAGAATGATCTTATTTAATCTTTTGACATTCCAACGAGTACCACTGTTAAAGCAACTTACAAAGGAGAAAATTGTGGTTGGTCACACATGTAGGAGATGGGTAGGCCAGGATGTGAAATAGCCAATGGTTTAACAAGCACAAACCATGACACATTATAAAGGCTCAATAAATAGAAGCTATTATGGTTATTTTCTGACTACTAGATTAACCTAAGGTAGCATTGGGAGAGAAAGAAATCATCTTTATGTCATTTCTATTTGAAAAAAAGTAAAGGGAAATAGAATTATGCTCAAAATGAAGTAGCTGAGTAGAGAAATCTTAAGGGCAATGGAGAGTAAAACATACATAATTTTCCAATGCTAAAAGGAAAAAAAGACATTATTCTATGATCAACCATGCTATAGCCAGAAACACAGAAAAAAGCAGGAACATGAACAAAAGTGCATGCAATAGCCTGGTTCATGCCTTGGTGTGCAGGAGGATGTACAGGGGAACTTTTATGACACCCAAGCAGACTGTGTATTATATTTGCATATATACACATGGGGATGGGGATGGGGATGGGGAGGAGGGAGGGAGGGAAGGAAGGAGGGAGGGAGGGAGGGAGGGAGAGAGAGAAAGTATCCAAAGAGGATTTTGTCTCTGAAGTATTTAGAATTATCTAACAGCCAGGGGATATGGATTAAATTAAGCAATTATCAATAACAGGTAAGTCTGGAAAATTTACCAGGTTATTCTAAAGTGCTTTCAATTCTGAAAATCTGTCTCCAGTTGTACACTGTAAATATGATAGTTAATAACTTTTTATTCTCATGCTTGTTTTTTTTGTCTTGATTTTTTTAGCCAACTTGGATTCAAAAGTTTTAGTTATTTACTTGAGAGGCTGAGAAGAGAAAGAAAGGAACACAGAGATAGAGTGAGCTCCCATCAGCTGATTCACTCTCCAAATGCCCACAAAGGCCAGGACTGGACAAGGCCAAAGCTGAGAATTCATTTCAGGTCTCCCACATGGGTAGGGGGAACACAATCACTTGGGCCATCACCACTGCTTTCTACAGTCTGCATTCACAAAAAACGGCAATTAGGAGCTAGAGCTAGGCATTGAAGCCAGACACTGAAAATGGGACACTGATAATAACATCTTAACTACTAGACTAAAAGCTCACCCCTTGAAGTTTTTAATAATAGTTATATTCACATGCCTACAAGAAATATCTGTATCACAAAAATATTTGAGTTAACATAATCCATCTGGTACTAGGAAGAGAAAAGAAGCAACTGTTTTTTAGTTCCTATTTTTCAGTGTTCTGCTAAGCCTACAACAAGGTGTGTTAAATGATGACAGACTTCAGCACAAAGGAGAAAGGACATTAGTTTATGCTCCTAGGGCATATTCCACATTTGATAAATGTTTGTGAGCAAAGAGAGGGAAGGAGGGATCAAGAAGATAACCATAAAAAGAAATCCTAAGATGGGAAGGGGAGGTTTAGTTTAGTTGCAACACACATTTTGTGAAAGTAAGGCAATCCTTGCCAAGAAAGCTGTGATCAAACACTTACTTAAACCCCCTGTAGAACAAATTCTTGTAGTCAACATTTATTGTACTGATATTTTCCTTTCCAAGTTCTTCCATGGTATATAAACGGCCCACCATTCGAAAACCAGGAGCATTTTCTCTGACGTACCCTCTATCATAGGCTGGCAACCAATAAATCTGCAAAGAGAAACAAAGTCCTTCCATGAATAATCACCTGTCCAGGTGTAAGAGGCCTCATACGGAATTGATGGAGTGCCATTTCAGCATTCCTAGTAGTCTACAGTGAGCAGAGAGAGATTCTAGCCCTTAATGAAAACAGACAATCTGATCTAATGTTAACTAATGAACTCTTATAATGGGGTTTTCAGCAAGGCTGTTCTAGAGCTGAGTTTTCTTAGGGATGCTCCATCCACAAGTTGACATTAAGTGTCAAGAGCCCACTGTATACAGAAAACCTCATACTACCAAGTGGCTAAAGAGTTGCTAATTATGGGATGAAGGTAGTAACCAAAAAAATCTGGGGTTGATGATTCTAAAAATCACTTGTAAGGAGTGGTTTCCTGCTGACAGATACTACTACCATTCATCTGTGGAAACAGTTCTATTTACAAGAGAGACTTTTTTTTTTACTCATAAAACTCCCATATTGAGAATTTAAGTTATTTGTAACAATTAACTGCTCAAAAGCACTTCTGAAAAACACGTGGAGTAAATCTCAGCTCAACTAAGAACCAGTTGTCTTTCTATAACATTCAGGAAAGTCAAGTCCTCAAATCCTCAGGGTTACTCAGGCTCTTTCTAACAGATCTATGTTGGTGACGTGCAGGTCACATCACATAGCTATTCCACACACAATCCTTTAACACTGGGGCTGATATTTCATGTAGTTTAGAATAGTAAATAGACTCAATGTTTTTCCTTACTCATATAACTTTCTCTGGTTCACTCTTATATTATCTCATGTAGCTGTTTATAACAATCTCCACTTCCATAGAAATAAGTTACTTAAAGATCTCAGACAAGAATTACAAGGTAGGTCAAATTCAACTACTATGTTTGTAGGACAAGGTACCCACATCCCAACCTCTACTGTAAATATCGAGATAGACATACCAGATGTGGCTCAATTTTAGAGTCAAGGATCACCTTTGTTACATGCTTGACAAATGAGTGTCTGAGAGGATGTTTTGCTGGAGGGCCATAAAGATCAAATATCACAAATTTATTTTCCTTCTTTGCAAGTTCCAACAAATCATCTAGTTTTGGAATCGACTGATTTCTTGCTCTGCGTTTATCAGCCTCTGATTGGTATGGCATATTGAAATATGGTCTGCGCTAAAAATAAATACATCAAAGAATACATTGGTTCCCATCAAAACCGTTTTCTAGTTCTGTTATGTAGTCCCATACATCGCTCCATATTGCTCCATTACCATTCAATCTAGCCTCTGAAATACTAGTTGTAACATAAAGGGTGCCCGGAAGGGAAATAAAATGTGATCTCTACCAGTAGTTATGGTGTTTGGAACGATTCATTCTGTATTCTAGAACCTGTTGTGTATTTGCACTGAAAGAACGTCATTCTGCTCTTGACCTTTCTTTCCAGCCTTTTGTCTCCCACCTTAAGGTAATACATCTCTTTTCAGTCACATTGGCTTCCTGCATGTGCTTCCACTGTTCTAGTTTTGTGTAAAAGGAAGAACACGCGCTTTGTCTTCAAACTGAACTGGATTCAATCCCATTCTATTTTCCTTCCTTGCTACATCCACCTGCTAAAATCCTACCCTCAACTTTTTCACATGATATCTCTTTCATTAAACTTTCCTTAACTATTCCTGAAACAAAGATAGTTCAAGAGCTTTAAATCCCAATGGTCTATTTTAATGCCTCTGGTATCTCAGTCTGCCTTCTGTAGTTATTTTCACATCTTAGACCCAAGCTCAAATCTTGGCTCCATACACTTCTTGTTGTGCACCCTTGGTAAATCCATTTATTTTTTTAAAATTTGTTCCAACAGATTGGGCCAGCATTGTGGCATAGCTGTTAAAGCTACTGCCTGCAGTGTTGGCATCCCATATGGGTGCTGGTTCAAGTCCCAGAAGCTCCACTTCCAATCCAGCTCTCTGTTATAAACTGAGAAAGCAGTAGAAGATGGCCCAAGTCCTTGGGTCCCTGCACCCACATGGGAGACCTGGAAGAAGCTCCTGGCTCTGGATTGACCCAGCTAAAGCTGCTGCAGCCATCTGGGGAGTGAACCAGCAGACAGAAACCATCCCCATCCCCATTACCTCTGTGTAAACTCTGTCTTTCAAATAATAAATCTTTCAAAAAATTTATTTCATTAGAGACAGACAATAAAAGAACTACTTGTTCACTTCCCCACATACCCTCAATGGCTGGGGCTGGGCCAGGTGAAAGCCGAAAGCCAGAAGCCAGGAATGCAATCCAGATCTCCCATATGGATAACAGAGACCCTCTTCTTGAGCCATCACCTGCTGCTTCCCACGGTGTGCATTAGGAGGAAGCTACAAATCCAAGCACTCCAAAATGAGATGCAGATATACCAACTGGCATCTTAACTGTTAGGCCAAATACCTACAGCAGGGAAAAGCATTTAAATTCTTAAAGTCTTCTAACTTCCCAAACTACAAAATGGGGAAGGGGAGAGGTATCTATGTATTATCCCTACAGTTATTTTTAAGATTAAATATATTTATACTTTCTTGGAATATGCTTGGTACATAGGAAAGCACACAATTCACATTAGTTCCCTATCTACTGATTCTACTGGAGTGTTATTACTTCATTGCTGAAAGTGTCAAATACTCTTTGCAATAAGCATTTTGCATTACACAAAGCAGGCCATACAAACTCTGGCTATATTAAATTTAATAGATGGTACTTTTATCACCATTTGCCAATTTTAGACCATTTGCCAGTGTAGGCCATAAAAGGCTACCTCTGGAAGAAGCAGTAACTCCTCACATATTCTTAAAACTCAAGTATTCTCTCTGCACCACTGCGTTTTCATACTCATGTGCACATTTGCTATTTACTCTTATCTTTCCATTGGCCTCCTAAACAAATTGCCCTTTCTCTCACTTTTCTTTAATTTCTTCAATGATAACTTGTTATTTAGTAGCATGTTGTTTAATTTCCATGCATTTTTAAGTTCTTGTTGATTTCTAATTTTATTCATTTGTGGTCTGAGACAATCCATGGTATGATTTCAATCTTCTTAAATTTATGGAGACTTGATTTGTGGACTAATATATAGTCTATGCTAGAAAATGTTCCATGTGCTGAGGAGAGGAACATATATTCTGTAGCTATTAGGTGAAAAGTTCCATGAATATCTTTTATGTCCACTTGCTCAATACTATGGTTTAACTCTCATGTATCTTTTTGTTTTGTGCTTGGATAATCTCCATTGATGACAGTGGAGTACTGAAGTCCCCACTATTACTGTATTGGAGTCTGTCTCTACCTCTAGGTCTAACAGTATTTAATATATATATATTATATATATACATATGGTCTATATTATATAATATGTATATAGTATTGTGTTGGGTGAATATATGATTGCTATATCTTCTTAATCAATCCTTTTATCAATATATAATATCCTTACCTCTTTTTATACTTTTTGATTTAAAATGTTTCATCTGATATGAGGATACCTATTCCTATTTGTTTTTGGTTTCTATTCTCCTGGTATATCTTTTCTCAGCCTTTCACTTTTAGACTATGTGTATATTTACTAGTAAAGTGAGTTACTTGTAGGTAGCATATTTAGATCTTTTTTTTTTTAATATGTTCAGCCAACCTGAATCTTTTGACTGGGGAATTTAATCCATTACATTTTAGTTAAAAGTTAAATTTTAAGTTACATTTTAGTTAAAAGCTAATGCCTGTCAATCTGTTGACTTGCTGAACCTTCTCACTGTACCCTTCCTCGCACCTGCACTCCCACTCTTCTTCCTCTTCTCTCTCCTATTCCCACTCTTAATTTTTAATTTACTTTTTTTAATTTTCAGTTTACTTTATACTCATTAACTCTACACTAAATAAAGAGTTCAACAAACAGTATGAGGAAAAAAATTGTTCCTCAACAGTAGAGACAAGGGCTGGAAACAATTGTTAAATTTCAAAATGTCAATTTCAATCCTCTACATGACATTTTAGATACTCTATTAGTTACCACAGATAAGGAAAACATATGGTATTTGTCTTTTTGGAGCTTGCTATTTTCACTAAGTATAATGGTTTCCAGTTGAATCAATTTTATCACAAGACAGAATTTCTTTTTTTTTTAACCACTGTGCACTATTCCATAGTGTGTGTGTGTGTGTGTGTGTGTGTGTATATATATATATGTCATAATTTCTTTATCCAGTCACAGTCAATGGACATCTGGGTTGATTCCGTATCTTAGCTATTGTGAATTGAGCCACAATGATCATGGGCTTACAGGTAACTCTTTCATATGCTGATTTCATTTCATCTGGGTAAATTCCCAGGAGTGGGATTGCTGGGTCATACAGTAGATCTATTTTCAGCTTTCTGAGGTATCTCCATACTGTCATCCACAGTGGCTGTACCAGTTTACATCCCCACTAACAGTGAATTAGGGCATGTTTTTCTTTTTAAATTTTAAAAAATTTTTTTGTCAGCCAGAGTTAGACAGTAAGAGAGAGAGAGAGAGAGAGTTATAGACAGTGAGAGAGAGACAGAGAGAAAGGTCTTCCTTCCATTGGTTCACACCCCAAATGGCTGCCACCACCGGCGCTGTGCTGATCCGAAGCCAGGAGCCAGGTACTTCCTCCCAGTCTCCCACGCGGGTGCAGGGACCCAAGCACATGGGCCATCCTTCACTGCCCTCCCAGGCCACAGCAGAGAGCTGGACTGGAAGAGAAACAACCAGGACTAGAACCCGGGGTGCTGGTGCCGCAGGTAGAGGATTAGCCAAGTCAGCCACTGTGTTGGCCAGGGCATGTTTTTCTATACAACCTCACCAAGATTTACTGTTTATTGATTTCTGTATTAGAGCCATTCTAAACGGGGTGAGGTGAAATCTCATTGGGTTGTAATTCCATTTCCCTTATGGCTAGGGACCCTAAGCATTTTTTCATGTGCCTGTTGGCCATTTTAACTTCCTCTTTTGAAAAATGCCTGTTCAAATCCTTTGCCCATTTCTTAACTGGATTGCTTGTTTTGTTGTTGTTGCATTTCTTGAGCTCTTTGTAGATTCTGGATATTAATCATTTATCAATTTCATAGTTTTCAAATATTTCTCCCATTCTACTGGTTGCCTCTTCACTTTGCTGAGTGTTTCTTTTACAGTACAGAAGCTTCTCAGCTTGATGTGATCCCATTTTTCTATTTTGGGCTTTGATTGCTTGTGCTTCTGTTGTCTTTTCCAAAAACTCGTTGCCTATGCCAATGTCTTAGAGAATTTCCCCAATGTTGTTGTAATTTGATGGTATTGGATCATAGATTTAGGTCACCAAAATAACCTTCACAATTAATTGCTTTGCTGTGAAAAAGTAGCCAATCCTCCTAATCTTATAAGTTGCAAGCTAACACTCTTTCAACCACCTTCTAATTACAATAAAGAAAGCCCTACAATGGTACATAAAAATAAATTCACTAGATAATTATATTTGAATCTCAATTTTCAGGATACTTCTTGGTCACCACAAAAACAGCATGACTAAATACTACTATAAGCATACAACCTACACATGCCAAAATAAATATCTTAATCTCAAAAATCACCCACCAAAATTTGTTACAATAATATACAATATATTCAACCCTACCAGTTACAATCAATACAAGATAGTTACAACAGGAGATGGTTTTGAAAAAATATTTGAAAACCAAAGCAACATAATATTAAATTACATAGTTCTCACAGTTCTAACTATGACCACTGACATGAAAAATGAGTGTTGTCGGGGCCAGCACCGTGGCACACTAGGTTAATCCTCCACCTGTGGTGCTGGCATCCCATATGGGTGTCGGTTCTAGTCCTGGTTGCTCTTCTTCTGGTCCAGCTCTCTGCTGTGGCCCCAGAAAGCAGTGGAGGATGGCCCAAGTGCTTGGGCTTCTGCACTCGTATGGAAAACCAGGAAGAAGCACTTGGTTACTGGCTTTGAATCGGCATAGCTCTGGCCATTGCAGCCATTTGGGGGGTGGACCATCGGATGGAAGACCTTTCTCTCTGTCTCTCTCTCTCACTGTCTGTAACTCTACCTGTAAAATAAATAAAAAATCTTAAACAAATTAAAAAAAATGAGTGTTGTCTTTAAAGGAAAAGTGTGGAGAAG